CACACACACACACACACACACACAACAGCAGCAGCAGATTGAATGGAACAGAAAACTTAATACTGGGTGAAGCAGGATTAGTTTAGCTGCCACATAGAGAGAAATACAAATCGATGATGTGGTTTAGAGAAATTTGTGTTGAATTCACAAGAAATACACAGAAAAGCGACAACGACCATGTGAAAGGTTGATTTCCTAATATCATATATGGAAGTTAAGGTGGAGCATTTACAGGTCATACAGCTCTTCTGCCTCACAAGAACTACACAAGGCCTGTGCTATCTTACATGATCATTTCTCTACCCTTACCTCTACTCAGTCAGATCTCTATCCTGCTGTTCTTCATGTACTGCTTTCCACTCCTCTTGACCTTGCTTGGCAATGGACACCATTCTCTTGAAGGCTTCGTTCACTCCGTCATAGTCGCAGATCGCAACAATGCTCATCCGGACCCGCTTTCCAAACACCTTCACAGAGAAGCCCAACCAGAACATCCAATCCATATATCACCGATGGTCAGCCTGCATTCAACCTTTTCAACTGGTGATCCAGCTGGCTGTCAAGGAGCCCCCCCTCACCCCTCACCCCTCACCCTACAGTACAAACATACTACACACTTGGATCACCGGTAATCCAGCTGGCGGTCAAGGAGAAACACTTCATCCTACGATAGAGAAAGCCCCAACCCCCCCAGGTTTATCTCCCAAGACTGCCATCGTCTTGGTGGGGCGCTTGGGGGTAGGGTGAGGGGGGGAGGGGGTCGCACGTCCGCACGCACGCATTTAAAAAGTGTTAAAGGGGCTTACACTTTGAACTTTGAACTTTGAAGGGAGTGCCAATGAGAATTATCGCCAGAACTTTGAAGGGGGGAAAAGCTCAAGTTGAAATCGAAATCATCTGGTCATAGTACCGTCATACCCAACCCATGTGGTTTAATGGTTACAGCTTACTACAAAGTTACAGAGTAGCAAAGTTACAGAGTTGCAAAGTTACTAAGTTACTAAGTTACAAAGTTACAAAGTTACAAAACTACAAAACTACAAAGTTACAAAGTTACAAAGTTACAAAGTTAAGTTACAAAGTTAAGTTACAAAGTTACAAAGTTACTAAGTTGCAAAGTTACAAAGTTACAAAGTTACAAAGTTGCAAAGTTGCAAAGTTACAAAGTTACAAAGCTACAAAGTTACAAACATGTAAGTGTTGAAAAACAGATTACAAGTTCGAATCCTGATAGAATCAGATGGACAAAGGGACCATCCCCCCATTTTCATCAAAACAAACAAAAAACACGAAATTGTCCGGTCATGTTTAAGATTTCAACCCTCGACAAAGTTGACGACAACTACAACGCTTTGCGGTGCCATTAACTGACACTCAAGTGGGCCCAAAGCTCCCCCAATTCCTCATTTCGATCACGTGTGCCCATTCGTTGCGGTTTCCTGAATGACCAGAGGGTATGTTCCGACACATGGACATAGACAACCTAGGGCCTGCCAGGCACTCCTACCGATGACTGACGTCAAAGTTCAAAGCATAATTAATTATTATTATTATTATTAATTACCACAAACAATTTTTCCTACCGGTGGTGACTGACTTCAAAGCATAATCAGTAATTAGTAATTACCGCAAACGACTTTCCAGTAGCTGCTTCTGTGTTCTACAAGTATGCTCACCTGTGTTCTCGCTATAGACGGGGAGGGACCCTTGCCATTATCAATATATTATACTCCATAGTTGGAATTCATGACTCATGGATCAAAGGTTTTCAGTTCCATGTAGCATCAGAGTAACAGCCAGAGGAAAAAAAAAAAAAAAAAAAGGTAACAGCCAGGTATTGTGGTCTTGTAGATCTATTCTGACAGCAAGAAGGACTATCCATGTCGCTTTCCCCTGTGGGTAAGTAAGTGGCTGTCTCACAAATGGCTTCTTTCCTAGTTCGTGGGGGGGGGGAGGCATGAAGGTGGCAGGGGCAAGCGGTTGGGGCTGGGGATCAAGGGATAGATAGATTGGGAAAGAACATGTGGAAAGTTGGAAACTTTATTGTCAGCATCAACAAAAAAAAAAAACTTCTGCGTGCTGTTCAATGGACGATGCATTGTCAACGACAAAAGCTCTCGACAACAAGAAGTCCGAATAAATCTCCTCAGGGGGCCCAGATTTGAAATCACCAAAGACAAGGGCTCACCGGTTCTATGTGTGTGCTTTATAGTCGAGTCGATAACGACGGCAGCTTCATACAAAACTAGGCCAGACACATAGCACCAGAGGAAACCCAGTCCGGTCCTAATGCCCAGGAACAGAATTCCTACCATCTTCAACCGAATAGAACGCCTGGTCATTGTAGCTGCATTTGGCGCAACTTCCAGTCCAGATGCAGCGATAATGACCAGGAATTCTATTCGGGTGACGATGGTACTTACAAGGAGATGTCACCAAAGTGGGCGAGAACAAGAAGACCCATAATTGTTTGATCTGTCTTCGTGAATCGTGATAGATCACGCGCAGACTCCTAGCACCACCCCAGAAGCTGAGCAAAAGTGATCTCCCACCACTAACCTCCTGTTCCCAACCCATTCATTACAAGCCTACAAGGGCGTGGATTGGCTGCTTATAAACAGTTGAAACTCAGAAGTGGTCGGAAAAAAAAAAAAAAAAAAAAAAAAAAAAAAAAAAAAAAAAAAAAAAGACAGCTTGAGAAGGACAAAAAAAAAAGGACGTGGTGAAACCTGCAACCATTACCTTCTCCAAAAAAAAAAAAAAAAAAAAAAAGAGAACCCTGCAATCATGCTTGGCTGAATGACGACTTCCCAGGAAAAAAGAAACGCCATGGGCCTTTCCTGACCAGTCCGGGGGCAAGGTCCCACTTTCACGAATTAAGAGATACTGGCCGTGGATGACGAAGATTAACGAGTGGCATCTGTTCCTCTGTGCAAGTGGGACGTCGCCCCGATTTTCCACCCGGCTGCATCCCAGGCGACTTGGTGCGAGAAGTACGTCGTCATCGTGTTTTTTTTTGTCGTCATCGTAAATCAGAATCACACCCAATGGTCCCAGTCATTGTCATGATGCATGTGCATCGCGGTGTATTTCTTTGGGCCAGGCTCATGACAGCTCTGTCCGTTCACTAGTTTCATTATGTTGTTGTCATATACCCCCTGCATTCGTGCTTTGACGGCACACTCTTTTTTTTTTTTTTTTTTTTTTAACAAAAAGCACAAGGTCCATCTATTGGTGGGGAGCAACACCTGGTGGAAAACGGGTCTACCGTCCCTTGAATACATTGTTTCTTAGCGCTCTTGTAAATGTATCTGACAGCAATTAGGGCCTGACCAGATGCATTTGACTGCAATTCTGTCCAGAGCTGAGTCGACAAAGTCCTGATCATGTGAGTACGCACGTGAGTACGCCCTTACTCCAGTAGCTGATCATACTTTAACACAGGCTATGGGAAATGAAGGAACAGGAAACAAACGATACATGAAAAGTTGAAAACAATTAACGTTTGGTCCTGTGCTTGTAATACCCCTGTATGCTTTCCCGTACTTGCAAGGACGCCTCCACTCTTCGGCTACTTGTTGCAGCACGCATAATGATTGCTAATTTTCTGCATGATTGCAAAATTGCAAATTATATTTTAACCTAGGCTACCAGCCNAGGGATCAGTCAGCCGCATACCTTGCCTAGCTTTGGCTGCTTATAAACAGTTGAAACTCAAAAGTGGTAAAAAAAAAAAAAAAAAAAAGGGATCAGTCAGCCGCATACCTTGCCTATCTTTCCCCTCGTAAGTGCGAACACCACTGGAATTTCATGAGAAGCTGCTTGCTCCAGAATACTGGCCAGCTTGCAGTCTAAGCCACCTGCCACAGCCAAGGCAAGCAACCACAAAAGACAGCAGCAAAGTAAATACAGAGAGGTAAGTTGTTTTTTTTTTTTTTTTCCACGCCCTCCTCCAGCACCAATCTCTCAGTTATCCAACTCCCCCAACCTCTAGCGCTAAGTAGACAGGCGCTCAACTCGGAACCGCCTTTCACTTGAAGCAAGCCCATGTCCAATCGGAGAATCGAACACACACACAACCGCCAACGGCTTGGCAGGCAAACACCTAACCAATAAGCTAAGTGGGCTACCTCAACATTAAAAAAAAAAAAAAAAAAAAAAAAAAAAAAAAAAAAAAAAAAAAGTGGGCTCCCTCAAGTTGCCTCAACATTAAAAAAAAAAAAAAAAAACAGGTCTGATCTCCTTCAAACAACCTCACACCACCCTCTGAAAGAAGAACAAAGCGAGAAAAAAGGGAAAACAAGAGAGAAAAGCTAAAAGAAAACAAAAAAAAAAGGACACCATGCAGCCAAAGGCGGGGTTAAAACTCGATATTTTGAGATATATTTTTGCTCTTTTTACCCAAGAGTTTGTGAAGTTCAAGATCCCTTAGCAAAAGCAAAAGCAGTGGCTATGAAGTTGCCTTTTTCTACCGCCAGGCTCCAGCAAATAATCACCAAAAATACTGCAAAAAAAAGCCATAAAAATCCCCCATTAGAGCAGTAGTCGACTTCATGGCACAACTGCCGCTGGTATGCAGCAGCGAAGTATGTCAGAGGGCGGCAGCCATAAAGGGGAGGCATCCTGTGAACTCATTCCAGCAATATCTCATCGTGCACCAACCTTCCGATGTGATCTCCTCGATGTTGGGAGAGACAATGACTGCCTTCGCACGCTTTAACTTAACCGCTATCGCAGCCTCACGAAAGCCAATCACATATCGCCGCTTGCTTCTCGCCTGGTGCACAGCAACAGCTCAAAAGACAGCACAAGCAGAGGAGAGGCAAACCCCTCGTAAACGAAGCGGGCAATGCAGTTGCCTTGCGCTGTCAAGCGTCTCAACCTCTATCCGCCACATCCATATGTGATTGATGAAGAGCCACAAAACGTTTCATCGGCAAATCCACAGAATGTTCATTTGCTGTGGGGGATACCTGCACTAGTCTTCCAGCAATTTCCATTCTTGTTGCATTCTTGAGAAGATTGGTTAATGACATGTACTATTGCATGATTTAAAGTTTTTTTAAACATGCTTGAAAAAACAATGGTCACACAAAGTTGACAATCTTGACTTCAGCAGGGGGGGAGCCGAAAGAGAAGGCCTTGACTTCAGCACGGCACCAGAGATCACTAAATATTACGTCCTCAATTAAACCACCGGTACATTTGCCAGCCATTCTTCTCCGACACGGCTGCATGCACGCCACAACTTTCGAGGGTCGGCTGCCGGAGCAAAATGGTTGGCGACGCCAGCCAAAAGGAGGCCTGCACCGGCTCATTTTTTTTTGGTGCAAAGGGCGTTTCGAGCCCCAGAAAAAGAGGCTCGGAAGTACTGGTGGTTTAACTATCTGTGTCCACTGTCCATTTCTCTCTCCGGTTTTCACATGTCATTACCGCCGTACTCACTCTTCCGTACCTCGTTCCTTTCTGCCTGGGTCCCTGCCCCCTTATTCCCAACTCCTCTCCCCCCCATTTGTTGATTTTTATTTCTTCCTTTCCCTGTTCCTTTATCTCATCAATTTTATTTTGCGTTGCTCCCTCCTCAATACCATGCCTTGCTACATTCCTCCCCCGAATACAACGTACGGTCATTATAGCTGAATTTGGGGCATCTTCCAGTCTAAATTCAGCTATAATGACCGTATGGCGTACGTTGTATTCGGGGGAAGACTGTAGGTTGATAATTGAGCCGTAGACTGTATTCGGGATCGAAAAGGGGCGCTGGGGTGTGGCCCGATGGACCTATGCGCAACAAGGAGGTTTGATGATGACGGTCAGTGATCCAAGGTGATTGGTGACGGCTTCAAGATGGTGGTACTCAACCATGGCATTGACTCAACCTGGGGGGCAGTCCTTCCAAGGGCGTCGCAGGGGCTTGACTTCAAAGGTGGGCTGCAACACGGCCAGTTTTGGCGACCCTTGTTTGGGGCCCTGTCACTTGTGGAACCAGAGCATTTTAGTCTGATGAGGGAGTAAGGGGGTAAGGGAGAGCCGTGGCATTTTCTTAAGCTAGAGGGGTTTTGTTGACAGTCCATTGAGGGGTCGAGAGGCTGGGGAAGCGGTCTCGAGCAGATACCCACTGCTCTAGTCTGGGCAACTGTGAGTGTGACCGAAACTATTTCAGGGCCAAGGCCACAGAAATGGGTCGACATGCTGGCTCTATCTGCTTGGACTCTTTCTTTGAGGTGTACTGGGCCTGGAACCCGGGGCAGGTTTTCCTACTTATTATTCGACTAGCTGAAGAGGTGCTGGGAACAGTGGGCAGGAGGAGCAACAAGGTGTAGCCAAGGGGAGATCCAGGTGTTGCCAAGCAAGGCTGGATGCCCGATACCGCCAGCAATGAATGGAAAGGGGAAGGGCGCGCCCAGGTGGTTGCAGTTGGTGGGCACTCCGTGCTTCTTGGTACGCACACCCACGCTTCTTGAAGGTGTCTTGACGTTTCTTTGGGGAACGTACTGGGGATCATGGCATGCGGCATGGGAGCACGGAGGGGTGCCACGGTGCTAAGAGAAGAGGGTTCAGAACAGAGGAAAATTGTGGAAACACCGGAAAGTGAAAAGGCATGTTGGAGTGCACATTGAGTGCATGGAAGTGATCTGCGTTCGAGGTGCGTGTAGGAGCACTCGTGAAGAACCGCTCCGCACCTAGAAGCTTGCCATCTGGGTGGTCGGCCAGAGGTACCCGCAATCTACGCTCGTGAAGACGCATTCCACATCCGGAGACTGGGCATAGGGGCAATCAACAAGGTGCAGGCACAGAGGGTGCTCGGTGGAGCTCCGCTCGGAGGTAGCACACGTCAGGAGGGTAGGTCTGGCACAGATCAGGCCTGATAGGGGATCAACCTGAATGGAGCTTTTAGTTGGGGAAAAAAGACAAGCAGTGGGATGGAGTGGTCAGGCAACAGTGTGGTGCAAAAGAAGGCAAGGAAAACCTTTCTTTTTGTCCTGAAGGCAAAGTAGCACCGCCTACCGGTTTGGCTTCGGACCAGCCGACTGGTCGACTGTCGGCTGCCACCAGTCGGGGGGTCGTCGGACCACTGCAACAGCTCAAGTATTTTTTTTCCCTTCTCCTCTTCCTCCTCCTCCTCCTCCTCCTCCTCCCCCTCCCCCTCCACTACAGGTTTCTCAAAGATAAGTTCTTCGTTCATAAGACTCTTTCAGACCCGTTTTGAAATTGCGCTTCTATAGAGCCCTCACCTGCCCCATTCAGCTGACTATTGCTCAAGTTGTTTCTGATAAAGCTTTTGACCCATCGTCCATAACGCCGCGCTAATTTTACTTTTCATTTTCAACGTCGAAATCCCTCAGAAAAGCGAGATCTGAACGGTGAATAGGGGTCCCCTCGTAATCTCCAACCACCTCATGCAGCCAGCTTGACAAGAGACATCTCCAGTCTCAAGCTATTCTCCGAAAACCACCAGTTCACCGCCTATGCACTGTTCATCTTTCGCCGTCGACGAGTACCGGGCCTGTGGCGTTCAGTCCAGGGCCAGTCAACGCTTGCCAGGCTTGCAGTGTTGGGTCCCAAAAAACTCAGCTGCCGGCCTACCAGGTACAACGGTAGGGCGGCAGCTGATGTGAAAACAGGATGCCGGTCCACCACGTGAGGCGGCAGTCGCCCTTGGAAAAAGAAAAACACAAGTGAACACAAAAATTTCTCGCCAACATTGGCTCGCGCTCCACTACTCACCAAATGTGCAAAATGAGAATGAATCTTCCGCTAGAAGATGGGAAGATACACCACCCTATCTTTTGTCTTTTATGCATGTGGTGAGTAGTGGAGCGAGGTAGTCCCCACATCTCTCTCTCTCTCTCTCTCTCTCTCTCTCTCTCTCTCTCTCTCTCTCTCTC